TAATAACCAAGAATATAAATGTGGGTTTGCATTAAAAACAAATATTAAAATCTGTTATAGAAAATAGACAAATTGGTTATAGGTAAATTCTTATTGCATTAAAGTAGAAATTACTTGTCTTCTAATGTTCAAGATGTGTTACAAACTTATGTGTTTAGTTCATACATCTTTTCTCTCTGAAATAAAACCATTCATTTATTTTGTCAATAAATTTTCTATAACTATTTCCATGCTAATTGTTCTGATAAGCTTTCCTCTTTGTTACTTTAACTTTACAAATTTAAGTGCAGTACTAGATTGGCGGCAAGGTCATCATTTTACAGTTGAAATGGATAGATGTAACTAAGTTCTATACTAACAGTTTCTTCTCTCACATTTCTCACTTGTGGGACTCTCTTCCAGCTTTTTGCTTTCCAGCCAACTTTGATCTTCAAAAGTTTTAATGTGATGTCAATCGTTATCTTCTGTCTTTTTAATTCCTGTTTTTTTATTGGTCTTTCTCCTTAATAAAGTTTTTGTTTTTCATATTTTTTTCACACTCGATAACTCCCTTGTGTCATAATGACTTTTTTGCTTTGCTTGGGGGTGAAATGATTAAAAAATAAATAAATTTGGTCCTTTTGTCAAAAACTTACTTAAAACCAGAGCTTAATATACAATTATCCTGGATAACAAAGGATACCTAATCTAGAGGGTTAATTATATATAATTCATGGTATGATATAAGCTTATATGTGAAAAATATTTTAAAGTCCTTTCTTAAATTGAAGTATAAGTGATAATGTCCACTTAAAATACACTCCAACTGCCTCATCACCAGCAACCCTAGTGTTTAACAGATTTTTTAGCATGATCTGAACTTTAGCCAGATTGTTAAGTGTTTTTCTTCAACTTTAATCTAAACCAGTAAGATAGATGAAACTTGAATCATCACATCTATAGAGCCAAAATAAACATTCCGGTCAACTCCAATCATAAATAATTATTTTTAGCTAAAAATTCAAAAGTTGCCTTTCTGCTAATCTAAAAAAAAAACAATGTCATCATTACATGTTTTTGAAATTTAGTTACTTGGACATTTGAAGTTGCAGTCATTCTTACTACATTCAACAAAAAAATATACATCTTTTATTGTACCTTATTTCCTGAACATTAACAATTCATTGTTTTTTTTAATTTTTCACTTAATTTCCAAAATAAAATCCCTTTTAATGCATTTTTCTATTATACCTATAACAATTCTGTTAATAATGCTGGTCTTGATTCTTGACCATTTACAGTTGTTTTCCCAAATGTTTAATATATAACCTACAGATAAAACACAAATACTTACTAAAAAAAAAGTCAGCATAAAATATCAAGAGTTAATGTTTAATCATAGTTTCCTCTCAATATCATGAAATTAATTATTGTAGAAAATGGCAATAGCAAAGCAAAGAGAGGGGCAAGTAATTGGGCAATTATAATAATAATAATTATTTAAAAAAAAAAAAACATTTTATTTACATTCATTTTCATTTTTGTTGTTCTGAATTTATATCCTCCAGCTTTCTTCAGATGTCTGTTGATCAGAGTAACCCTCAGAGAATTATGAACTGAACACTCAGTAATAGATTACTTTTATTTCACTGATTAGGGATATACCTTATCTTGCTCCTCTGCACCATTTCCTCGTTCTACCACTCAATTTTTGCCTGCTCTGTTTCTATTGAGTCGGAACTACTCAGCTGAGGAATTGAACTCACAATAACTATGTGACTAATTCATGAACCAAAACTTTCATCCACTAAGCTATTGTCCAATGAAACAATTCTGAATCTAGAAACTGAGGCCTTAACCCTAGTCATGTCAAAGGCTACAGAAACAGCTGGTAAATAAATGGACTTTGACTAAAGCTGAATGCTACACCAAAAAATCTTATTACTATTCTGATTAAAAAAGCAAGTTAGGCAAGATTAACTATATTTACAGCTTAGTCAGTCAGTTATGTGCCATGCATGATACACGCTTAGGCAATCATGTATCTTTCACTACATGGCTGATGAGGCAGATTTTTCCCCGCAGTAGGTTGCCATTTTTTTATGCAGTAGACCAGTTGCCATCCAAGGCTATAGACCCTGGTCTTGCTAGTCACCCATAGATGGGGGGAGAAGAAGAGGATTCATACCTTTCCCAAGCGTATCAGCACGTAAGTGAATGAAATGGATTTACAGCTACTCAGTCATTTTATCATCAAATTCTACAAATTGCTCTGCTTCATGTCCTAAATTTCAAAGATGAATTAATAGAAAAAAGCTGTTTAACTATTACATTAAAGAAGATGAGGCATAACTGTGTTCATTCAGTTTTAGGAACAAGCAATTCTAATTTGATTCTTACACCAAATTTTGAAAATATATCTTGCTTGTCATTGCTATGATTGGTTTTTCAAAACAAATCCAAACAGACATTTACACCACCATATCAAGGTTTTTCATCATTAGATAAGACAAGATAAAGTTTATAGAAATCTTATCTTTTCTGGTTATATATATATATATATATATATATCAAACATTTTCAGACCTACAAACAATGCTTACATGAAAATACAAATATTACAAATTGATCACAATCGAGATAACTATTCTATATCAGAGGCAGTGTTTACCAACATATAATAATTTCTTGATAAAATAATCCTTGTCAGCCAGAAAGCTCAGAGAAATGAATCAAGGGAGGTAAACTGAAGAGGTGATAAAATCAGTCTTGTGCCACCAGGCATTGTAGGAAAAGAAACAAAGGCCAAGTGATAGTGTTCATTGTACAAAGCAAGTCAACTCAAACTTGGAGGAAACTAGCACAGACTAAAATATTGGATTGATGCAAAATTTCTGAGTGACATTTTTCGTAAAGTGTTAGGGAAGTGTCTGAGAAGTGTAAAAAAAATTACTCAGCTTTTTATTATTCAGATGTATATTCTCTTCAAGAATTGTTCTTGCAGAGAAGTAATATTGATAAAACTCATAACCAAACATAAAATTCACATTGAACTTTATTAAACTTTGAGAAATCACAATGGCTATTAGGCACTGGACCACACTGAAATTTATGGAATGGCGCAGTAGATGCAAGCATGTAATGAGAATAGTTGGAGAAATCAAGAAAAGGATTTTTACCTCAAGGATAAAGAATGTTTTAAAAGACTTCAGAATTTGAAAACTGATAAATTGGAGAAGGTTTTAAGATACAGTAAAAATAACATGTGAAGTTTCCATGCTAATTAATAAGATGAATTAATTGTGTTCCACTATTTGCAATTGCTAGGAAATGTTCAGAAACTACGAAAGACTCCACATAAATTTATGAAAAGAAATGTTGGTTAGTATTTAATTGATCTCTTGTTTCATACAAAAGTCATTTTTGGACAAGATAATGGCAATGAAAGAGGACTTCAGAGAATATAAATCAAAGAAAAGTATGGCTATATTTAAGACCTCCTTCAACATTTCAATCTAAACAGAATTTACTGAAGGAGAAAAAAAAAACTGTAGTTTGTATTTGTTGGGATTCAAAGGAAATTCTTTGTTCCAAAATTACTGGATCTGAATAAACTGTTACTGTACAATACTATAGTGAGCAACTGGCTCATTTGAATCAAGATTTTCAAAAAAAAAAAAAAAAAAAAAAAATGATGTTGGTTTCTTCTTGGTAGACATTATTTTGTTGTATAGGATTCATTGTATTGTTGCAAATGCAATGGCAAAGAATCAAAGTTGGAATGGTATATATCCCTTGTTTTACTATGTAATACACTGTTTAATCAATATTTTCTAAAATGTTAAGATATTAAAACCTTAACTGAAAGGGTCAGATCAAAACAGGAATTGTTAATTTATGATGGAATACAGTTTAGCTGAAAAATAGCATAAAATCAGAGAAAAGCTAGAAAATGGTTGAATAATACTGAGATTATACAAAAGGCTTTAGTAAAAAGAAAAAGGGGAGAATTTTTCAGTCAATATAATATATAAATATGGAACAATATTTTCATGACAATGTATGTGCCAATACAGTAAGCACATTAGCCAAAATATTTTATTAGATGAAGCACTGTCAATTTTTTATCTAGTATTTCTTTTATGATAATTTTAGTTGCTTTATTTACACTCATTATATCTTGAATTTTATCATTAGATGAAGTGTTACCAACTATCATTAATTTTCATTTAATTTTAATTGCTTTTTTTTTTATACAGACAACCATAGTTAAATAGAGTAGACTGGACTCAATAACCTTGGGTGACAACCAAATCAAAGAGAAAATAAAAACAATTCCAAAAGGCAACAAGGAATCCTACTACTATCTTCACATGGCAATTCATGGATAAAAAAAAGCAAAGGAATCCGTGGAGAGTTATGATTGCCTGTCCTTAATGAATATTAATTAATTTTTTAAAATTTACACTAGCAGTAATATCTTGAATTTGATTAGATTAGAATATATACTATTAGAAACTTTGTCAACCATTATTAATTTCTGACAATTATTTTCTTCATCTTAATTCTATTTGCTTCTTATTGCAAAAGATAAAAATGATGCAAATTGCACCTCAACAAGAATCCTTTTCTGCTCACTTCCATCCATGCAGTTAACTAATGGCATTAAAATTACAGCCTGAGCAGATGCAATGAAAAGCAACTAAAATCAAAACTAAAGCAATACTAGCTAAAAACTAATAATGATTGGCACATATTAGAAGGAAGAATTTCTTTCTTGCATAATCACTTTAATATTTTTATTGTACTTCATGAAAATTTAAATGAAAATGACAAGATGTTTTTATACAGATATATTGTATATTCTCCAAATAGAAATGTTAATTCTAAATATCACTGCTCATATAGGGCCAAATATAATTTGGTATGTCAATTATGTATCAGTATCTACCAAATATTGTTATCAATTAGATGGCTAATAAAATGAAGGAATGGAAAAAAAAAAAAAAAGATTCACTCACTTTCTTCATTTTGAAGCTTGTATGCCAAGACTCCATCTTCATGTTCAGACCATTTCTTACAGACTGAAATTGACAGAGAGAAATATTTAAATATATTGAAGTAGTTGGATTATGAAAATTTGAAAATGATGGAGATGCTATTCAAAAGTCTTGTCAAAACAACGGTATGAATCATTAGCTTGCAAGATGTAAACACCCAACAAAAATTGGAATTAGTAACTTTCATACTTCTGAAACAGGTATAAATTTTAACTTTCTTTATCCAAAACTTGTCTCATTATCAGTCAATACTGAGAACAATTTTGTGTCTAGTTGATTACAATGGTAAATAGAGGGAAAAACTTGAACCCAACAAGTTAGAAAAGAAAAAAAAAGAAAAGAAAAAAAAAAGAAATAAAAGGGGAAGTGATGGAGTCCAAGTTTCAATCAATAAAAATCCTATTATAATTGTGCTTTTCCCTTCCTTTGTTAGTTCACACGGTTACATCCTGCCTATTACCTCATAAATAATGGACTATTCCATTTTGATCGCATGGAAAAGACACTACTTGATTTCAATGAGAAAATGAAAGAAAGAAAAAGAAGTGAAGACAAATGTTTAATGATTGTTTCAGTGAAATGTAAAAAGTTGTCAATTTCAAATCTTTTCATCTGTAACCACTTTTTATAACAACAACCATCATTTATATTTATGATTGCTATTGCAATATTTTGTTAAAGTTGTTAAGCTCAAACATTTAACGATGCAATAGGGGAATTCCTATGAATATTTTATTGTCATAGGACTTACCATGAGCTTATTCAGTCATTAATTAAGATTCATCAAAACATTAAATAGGAAAACCATGAAATTTTCACAGGTTAACACTAGCATATATTAATGTACTTATCAAGGGTGTGCTGATAGCGGGAGTGTTAATCTACAAGGAATTTTGAACGGGACCCCTTTATCTAATCTACAAAGGTTGATTGTTTATGCTGCCCATGTCTAAGATATGAACAAAGATAACTCCTTGTCCCAGAAATTCAGAAAGATATAAATGTACTTAATATTAAGACAAATGACTTAAGACTAAAACAGAATAATTATAAATAAAAATGTACAAACTTTATTTACATTATTTATACTCTGACTATTGTCCTTATCTTTGTTGTTATTATCACAATGTTTCAGTTGTTCTGGCTTTCATCAGGTTGCTTGTCAATCTGGGTAACCCTCAAGTAATTTCAAACTGAAACCTTTATTTAATCTATAGGGATAGACTGTTCTTGTTCTGCTGTCCATGTCTAGGGATATCTTGTCTTGTTCTTATTTAGTACTGATTAGGTATTGCTCACTCTGTTCCCACTGAGTTTAAGTTTGCACTACTCAGCCCAAAGATTGAACTCATAATCACAACCTGTACAAACTCATGAGCTTGCATGCCATGCTTGTCATATACACCACTGTTACCTATGTTGAAATACATTAGACATGACCAAATTGTGGTCACATCCACTGTTTGGTTTCTATAAATATTCCATAAACATCAATGGATGTTAAAGGCTGCATTTTAATGACAAACTTTCATATCAGATGGCATTTTTGCCATACTACCACATAATTGCTATAAGTAACAATGCCCCCCCCCAAGGATATTAGTGTTTCACCAACATCTATACACACCACCACTGTCCACCTCTGATGATAAAGAAAATAGAAGGCATTAATATTGGAACAAGCATGGTATATGTAAATTCTCTTACAGCTGATTCAGCAGGAAGCAATGATAAAATCTAACTTTAATGCTTCTTTGAAAACTATGTGATTTACTTGTGATTTATTTAGGGCTAAATGCTTATCTTTCATCTTCAATCATTTCACCCCAAGCAAAGTGAAAGTGCCACTAAGAAACAAGGGATTACTGGTAGTGAAAGAGAAAAAGAAGATTTAAAAGGCACCAGAAACCCAATCCTAAACAGGAAACACTCTACTCCTGTTCAAAAGACCAAGGAGAAGTGTGAACTGGATTATAGGCAAAACTTCTATATTATTGCCTGTAGAGTCTCCACTAATATAAGTACAAGGTTTGTGTAAAGATTACAGGAATAAGAGATTTACAGAAGAGTAAATAATTTGGGTAACTAATCTTGACTATGTACTTTATAGACACCCAAAAAGCATTTTGATTTTAATAGTTTATAGTACAATAATAAATGGATATGTAAATAGCATAACAGTTATCAACATGGAAAGTGGAATTGGTGAGTCAAGTTCAAATTCCAACCTAGTCTATTACATTCACTTTTACAAAAAATGCCCTTCATTCCTCCCCAATTATGGGTTAAATAGTGGAGTAGACCAGGCTATCTAACCTTAGATAGCAATCCATTTAAGAATAGGACAACTCTGAATTCAAAAGGCATGGAGATGGCAATGGGAAATCACTCCATCTTTTCTAAGAAAGTGCAATTGATAGATAATAAAGGAATCTGTGGAGAGCCATGATTGCATACACCCTGAAGGGGCATGGTATTTAAAAAGTAATAATTAAATAAAATACTTAATGTTAAAGATTTGGGGAGTAGCTATAGAAAAAAAAAATCCTTCAAAGAATATTGTGCACACATGCACATTATTAAAGAAAAACAAAAACCCTTGGTGGAACCAATGGACATACAACTTGCCAAAATTTAAAGTGCTTATCTAGATACAGTCCCAAATAAAAATGATATCCTGGTAATGACAAACTACATCTGCATCCTGGGTAAGACAATAAACTACATCCAACAGCAAGGCCTCTGATCAGGAGGTTTTGAGGAGTGTAGAACCACCTCTTAATTGCTGGTGTTCCCAGGTCTTCCCCTGACCTGGGGTGGTAGCACCTGTTAGGGTCCCAGCTATGGGCAAATAGTTAACCACAAAACTGGGGTCAAAACAGTATGAAAGTGTAAAATTAGGTTTTAATTCCAGCAATACATTTTTGTAAAAAATTATTACCAGCAATGAATTTTAGAAGAAAGAATTATTGCCAGCAATACATTTTTGAAGAAAAAAAAATATTACCAGCAATAAAAATCTTATTGGCATTAAATAACCCATAAAACAAACCAAACCAATAAAAAACAACATTACTGAAAAAAAGAAAGAAAAAAAGGCCTAAAAGCAAATTCAGTAAAGTGCTCAAAGCCCAGATTGCCTAGATTGAACAATAATATATATATATATATATATATATATATATATATATATATATATATATATATATATATAATAAAAAGGCTTAAACACTAATATTCCATGGTCATAATTTATTCCATTGGAATCGTAAATATTCATATGTATGTATATTTTCCACTAATATTATCTATATATATACATATAAAATAAAGAAGTTAATGGTCAGAGTTGAATTAGACCAGGAAACAGTAGTATTAAAAATGTATGTAAATTCATAATATATGGATTTCACTGCCTGATTTGAAGACCTAACTTATAACAATTAGATTGATTGATTGATTGATGGATGGATTCATTTTCTATGGCTTATCAACTCTCTGTAGGTTATTTAAAGCCAGGAAATATTTTTAGATTGTAAGATTTTTTTGATTTTTTTTTGGAGATAATGATTTAGTGATACAAGTTTTACTAATTGTCCTGTAGATGAGGGAAGAAGAGGTGGATTCGTACCTTTCCCAAAGGTATTTGTACGTAATTTGTAACTGGAATTGGAACACAGCTCTTTGATTAACAATTTTGAGCCATTATCCATAACACTACCCACACATCCAAGCTTCTTGCACCTGGTATTCTCTAGTAGTTACCCATCTAGGTACTGATTAGGCTCAATATTGCTTAACTTCAGTGATTGTACAAGGAACTAGTGTTTCAACATGATGTTGCCATAAGCCTATGTCAATCAAATAAAATGCATTCATTAATCAAAACTTATAATAATCAGGTCATTGTTCTGTAGAAGAATTAAACAATACAAGACATCCCCTAACAGAATGAGAACAGTTTATTGTGCATTTAATAGTTAGGAGCAAATTGGAATCAACCCCCCACTGACTGACCAAAACACCAATAACCAAAAATAAACAAATTGGTCAGAATTCATATATAGGAACAAATAAAAGAATCGCATTTGAGTAGGCACAAACAGTTCTTGCAATCACACAAAGTTATGTCAGAATGCTAGTCAAGAAATGATCGCTCTCGTTGGGCCCAGGGGAGAGAAAGTCTGATGTCATGAAGGCCAAAAACTTTCTATGGCTCCAGAGGAAACATTCTGGTGTTCATTATATGCATATAAAATGAAAATAAAAGGGTTTAGTTTGAAATTCTAAAAACAATGCCAAATATGTAGCTAAAAAGACTGACTACAAAAAATAAAAACAAGCAGAAGAAACTAATTTAAATAAATTAGTTTATAATTTTGTGTATTGAAAACCATTACACTACCCAGAAACAATATATAATTAACAGTGTTTTATGTAATTAGAAAGAAAATAAAACTATGCACACATCTGCATAAAAGTATTACTTAGCCTTTCATTAATGGAAAGTAAACTTTGAATGATTAAAAAAGGAAAAGACAAAGAAAAATAATTTATTTCTATGAAATTAGGATGAAATTTCACTTAAAAATCTGACCTATCCCAATACAGCTTTCTCATTGTACCAATATTGCATCTAAAATTGGACCATGAGGAGGGGGTCACCAAATTAAGTCTCCTAAATTATGGGTGGTACATTTTTCTCAAAATTCCTTCCCACCTTAGCAAAAAAAAAAAAAAGAAACAAAAAAGGAAATTTTCTGACACTTTGATAGATAACAACACATGGACATACAGAAAAAAATGTGCTAAAAACATAAAATTCAGAGGAAATTGACACTGCCTAGAAGACATTCTTTTTAAAATAAAGACATTTGTGATAAATATCTATTGCAATAGATGGTTAACAAATGACAAAGAGACCATAACAGTGGAACACGTCCCTTTGGTCATCGACTCTTACAAATTAAGCTTTCAGGTATGCTGTAATGATGCCTTTCTGATAAAATTTAAAAAAAAAAAAAATTCCCTATTTCAGGAATTTGAAAAGCATGGCTGATTTGCAAGCTGGCTGGTATAATTCAAGCAATGATAAGAAGACATGTCCAATATTAATGTCTATGTCTTTAACAGTGCTGACAAAGGAAATCTTTTCTTTCATAAGAACAGGAAAGAGCTTGGCTGTTATTATACTCACTTTCCACCCCCATAAGCTTTTCCTGAAAAGCAACTACATCTCCCACTCTCTCTCTCTCACACACACACACACACACACACACAGTAATACTTAAGAATAAGATGCTGTGTAATATGAAACCAATGAATCTGATAACTCTTTTCACTTTTTTTTTTTTTTTTTTTAAGAGGAAGAAATTTGCTTTCTTGATTCAGAGCTGCTATTGTTTTGTAATAAAACAAACATTGGGAGCAATATTATTGCCAATTTTAATAAAATAAAACTTGAGGCCATATTGTTATTTAACAAGATCTCAGCAATTCTTGCTTTATTTTTTTGGAGGGGTGGCGGGCGCATAAGGTGCGATAATTTTGTTTCATTAAAACTACCTCACACACATTATATATGTATATGTGTACAACTCTATATTCAATTATTAGCTCTGTTATTTCACATCAAGCACTGTTTTATTACCACCAACACTCACTGTGCACTATTTTGTGCATGTGTGAGGTAGTTTGAATTAATATATATACATATATGTGAACATAGAAGTCAACACTTAGAGGCGACAGTGTTTCATGCTAGATGCAATCGTCAGGCCACCTACATAAAAGATTTTTATATATTTTCTTTATTTTATCATCCTGACCAAGGGTTTGAGTGTGCTGGCCTTGTTCAGATTGATCATGCTAGATAACACACTTCTCTCCCAGAAACTGTAACTAAGGTCTGCTCAGCATAGTTGCAGTATAAACCACAGGTGGGTTCTGTGGGTATTGAACAAACACAAAATGTGTCTGAGTAAGCGTCTGCAATAGGGATTAACTAGCTGCCTCAGGAGATGGGTATCCTCCAATACGATTGGCCAACCATCATATATTACTACAAAATTACATTATATATATAACTACACAATTGCAGTCATGTTTTGATGCATTTCATCAAGCGATTGTAAATTACTGGCAAGTGAATAATTTATTTAGATTTAAAAGCAAAACACAACCTCTTTTTATGAAAAAAGTGGGGGGGTTATAAGGTTTGTCAGTTTTACTTTGATCAACCAATAAAATATGACCTACGTTAAATTTAAACTAAGCGAAGAAGCAAAAATTAAAAAATTATTTTTTATAAATGGGTCATGACCCATAGATTGGCAGCTAATGGCAGCCAGACATAAACAGATACATAAATTATACAAACTAGAAAATGCCATTACCTAAGAAATAAAAAATGGGGTGGTGAGGTAATTTAGCAAAATACTAAACAAGTTATAGGCTTTGTGAGTTTCCTACATAAAAAAAAATTTTATAGTTAATAAATAGCTTCTTTAAGTAAATAATTTAAATGTATAGAATTATTTGGTAAATTAATATGCAACTGTTGAATAAAGATTCTTCATATAAGATGTTAATAACAAAAAACAATCAATGTAAAATGTCAAAAATACCAACAAAATACCAATACATATGTACAAGATGTTACTAATACTACCAGGAGATTAATACAAAATTATATTAATTCCAAATTAATCTTACAAATAGAAAGATAAACCATATATGTTGCAATGCAGTACAACTAAAATATAAGAAAAAGCTTAATCAAACTCCAAAGTTTAACTAAATTGTAAGGTAAAAGGTAAACTATGTTTACAATTTACTGTTAATTCATTCATTTGATTTAATAAGAAATTTTTACTGAATCTGATAATTTCTACTCTTTCATGTAAGCACAGAAAATAAGCTTCATATAAAGATCTACATGTCCTTGCCATTTTTAAAATTTTCCATTTCACCTTATGAGTCTTACTATCATCTTTTAGACTCCAAAAACATTTCAAAAGTGATGTATTATTTCTGTAAGTACTATTGGTGAAGGACAATGTATGTTGGAACCACTTAGTCTTGAAAGAATTCTTAGTACTACCAATATAGAATTTTTCAACTGTCGGATTCTCTATTGTAGAGATAGTACAAAGATAAACGAGATTTAGTTAAACATTTGTTTGGCAGTAGACATTGGTCAGAATTCCTACAATTACATTGGCCAGTATTATTAATAATATTTTTCTTGTGTAACTTTATAATCTTTAAGATTATTGGTACAGCTATAACTTAGTTTTAATGTGTTTCTGTTAAATATTTTACTAAAAGGTTTACTTTTAGGAAAATGTTTATCAATCAATTGGAGGAACTTATTAGTACTGACTAATTGATTAAATGGGAGTATGTACCAAATGATCTTCCTATTTCTATTTCTTCTTTTGGACCACTATCATCATATTTTTAAAACTTGATTTCAGCCTACTTATGACCACTATTCTTTAGAACTTTATTATACACACTGTTATATTTATCAAATACATCTTTGTGTGATGAGTGGTTGCTAATCCTACATTTTACAGATGAAGGTATATGTTGGATTACAGATTCTAACCATCCTCCATCTGTAATCCAACTTTTGTCTTTGTGCCATGCCTCTTCTGGGTGTCTCAAGGACACATGGCCCAGTGGATAAAGGTGTTGGTTAGATTCAGTGACTAGACCCAAAGAGTTGCGAGTTCAATACCAGGCTACAGCAGTGGTGAACCAAAACCTGATGAGTTGAGTTAAAGGCAAATAACAGACATCTGGAAGAGGCATGGCATGTGGAACTAGAACAATCTACCTTGGTGCATGAAATAAAGAGATTCAGTTTGAAATTAAAATCATCTGAAGAATACCAGAGCATACAACAGCCGAAACGTTGTGAATATAAGCAATGAAGAGGAGTACAATAGTCCAAATAATGTAAATAGAGTAAGCAATAACATTTTGCAAGACTTCTTCACTATGGACCCTAGAATTTCAAAATAAATAACATACTTAACTTCCTAAACAATATTTGGAGGCATGGGGGAGTAATAGATAGCAGCTTGAATTGGAGAGCCAATTTCAAATTCCAGTCAAGTTCGTTGCATTTACTTACATGCCAAAAGTGATGGATCCATCTCTTCCTCCTTGTAGGTCCTGCCTCTTTAGGCAAAGGCTGGAAGAAGGTAACTTCAAAAACAAATGTCTCAAAGAAAGAAATTACCTCCCCCCCACTTCAAGTTGTGACAGAAAATAATAGATTTCCTTGGGCTTAGTACATTGGTTCAAACAAACACACACAAGACTGGGAGACAGCACAGTGCTACGGACCTCTGATTTCAGACCATCCATTCATGCGTATATCACTTGTAGTACTTTAGACAACAATCAAAACAAAGAGAAAGAATAAATGATAAACCAATTTTAATCAGCTTCAAAGAAAGTAATAAAAGAAGAAAAGAAAAAAACAACCTTATTTAAATCCCACACTATAGAATAATTACAAGATTCTGTGTGGGAATTTCCACAAGGTTTCTAGAACAGCAGCAATAAATAAAATTGCATTATTAGTAGATAAAAAAAATACTTGAGTACTCGTTATATATTTCACTGTTATTTTAACCTTCTTTTTCAAAAGAAGTTCTGAAAGCAACACATCTTTCATTCACAGAATATAAAGCATAGTTATAATCTCATTTGCTAGTCTATCAAAATATATTAGTAAGTGATTGGTAACATTTTAGAAAGTATGATTCAAGTTTTAAATTTAAAGTATTGTGATGGTCAACAAATAAAACTATGAATGTAACTTTTTTTTTTAATAATTAGTAAATATTTTTTGCTCCTCTAAACAAATACATAAAAAAAATATTTTTTGTAAGTAATCTGATAGATGAAGTGGATGTGTGGGTAGTGTAACAGTTATTTGTGCAGAAACTGTAATCAGCAGGAGGCAGTCAAATTCTAATTGTGTGTCATGTTCACTTTTGCACTAATGCTCTTGGGGAAAGCAAGAATCTATCTCTTATCTGCCTAGCTATCGGTTAAATAGCAGGGATCTTTAGCAATCAGTGGCAGTCAATATAGGAAAAGGACAATTCTGAATTTAAAACTTTGGAGAAGGTAACAGGAAACCACTCTTACTACCTTTCCCAAGAAGCCATGGCATTTCAAAGATAATAAAGGAAAGGAATCCGTGATGAACCATAATTGGCAAGAATTTGAAAGAACATGGTGTTAAAAAAAATAAAAAATAAAATGAATATTTATACTATTTACAACATTCAGACTGTTGGCCTCATCTTTATTGCCATATTCACAATGTTTCGGCTGTTGTACAATCCAGCCTTCTTCAGGTGACAACGATCTGAATGATGTAAATAGAGTAAATAGTTACAATACCTCATCTTGGAAATATAAACAGATAAAATGAAGTTGTGGAGAGCAATGGTTGGCTTTCTGAAAGGGATATGGTATTAGGAAAACAAGAAAAAAGTTTTTAAAAGTTAAAATGTCAATGAATAGAAAGACACAATAATAATAAAGTGTCAAATCTTTGTCATTAATTATATACAGCCTGTTCTATTATGCTAATGATAAGCAACTGAATATTTTAAGGACAGAGTAAGCAGTTGAACTAGATGCTAATTAGAACTGGTTTCTGGAGAATTCAATAGTTTGACCAACTTTGAAAAATAGTTAAAAAAGAAAAATATTATACATGAGTGAATCACACAGTTATTGGGATCAGTTGAGTTTTAACAGTAGAGGCAAATGTTTGTTATTTATTGAAAAGGCCATTTAGTTCATTATTAAAAGGTAACTGTCACCCACAAGCAGACATTAGCAAAGTCTTGTGAGAAAGGCTAACAAAGAGGTTAGAATAACATTGGCAACACTTTTTTTTTATAATGTCCTTTAAGTGGTTTTGATGAGATTACTTATTGAATAATTAAAAATGGCTGACAATTCCAAAAGAAAACAGCATTAAACAAATTAGTCTATAAACCAACATTCCATTCAGTATTATGGAAAGATGAGATCATGTAACTTATTCTTTGTCTTTTTATTTGCTATAAACAAGAGTTTATTTCACAATTCACATAATAAATTGAAAGAGAGAAGGAAGAATCTATAAATAAAGTCTTAAAAGGAAATAGAAATTATAAAGAATTTACTGATA